AGGGGTTGGAGGAGCTCAGCCGGTGCTTACCCGGCCTGCCAAGGTCTCTCAGGGCATTAGTCACATGCCAAGTCCTGTGCTGCTGCCCATTGGGCTAAAGGTAACTAGCAGACAAAATCCATACTTGACTTCCCAGGAGAAGACAGGACGAAGGATGGGCCAACGAGAGGCTGAGAGCAGAGTCACCCCACTACTCCACCCATGGGCAGGAACAGGCATCAGCTAGTGTCACTACCAGTGCCAGTTCTGAAAACATACATTGTTTTCTTTCTGCTCAGCTTCACAATGAGAAGAGACAATGGGCATGTTTTTAAAAGCCATTGAAATGATCAGATGTTGGGTGGTATGTTGAACCAACATAAGACAAACCAAGAAAGAAACAGACTGTCAATATACACTCACAGTGGATTTTATTCTAGATGAATTCATAGGAATTAAACTATTCATCATTTAACATATCTGAGCATCTAGTGTGTGCCAGGCATGTGCTAGGAGCTGGGAAGACAGTGCTAAAGACAGGGCAGGGCTCTCAGGGGACTAACCAGCTGGGCGGAAGATACAGTAGAAATTAAACAAGCAATATCTATAAAGTGTGATGAGTGTTCCCACCATTAAGATCCAGGGATCAGGCAAGACCTCTCTGAGGGAGATGCTTATATGAGACTTTGAGGCTGAGCAGACAAATTGAGTTGGTCCTCTCGGCACTGAGCTGTCAAACTTCATACAGTATTGCAATCCTATGACCACAAAGCACTCTTACACATTTAATGTGCAAATCTGCCTTCCCCTTCAATCAATCCATGTCCCAGTTGTCTTTGTTACCCCTGCCCCAGCACTCTAAGTCTGAATGGAGGTGCCCAGCCCTGACCCAACACCCTTGCCTTCCCTTAAAGTAATTTCAATAAAACCTAGATTGTGTGAATTTACACGGGTTTTTCAACAGAATCACGTCCCTGTGTGAGAATATTAAATAATTCCCTCACAAACAAATACAGTCATGATCGGGTGAGTAATTCTTTTCTATTTTAAGCATTAGCAATAACCAAGCTGTAGACAGCATGATACTAAGAATGAAAGAAGTCTATTTATAGAAATGTCTAAGGAAGAGAACTTTTTAAAAACTTCAGAACATTACAGCAGCACTCATGCAAAGCATTTACACATCGGATATTGATGTGTAATACTAAGTAAGGGTTTAAAGCCAGCTAAATTCTTATCTGTGGTGATAATGACAAGCTACAGCAGTTTACTTCATGCCTCTTAGCTGGCAAGCAGCAAGCAGCTGCAAACCAACCATACCGAACAAACTGGTTAATGCTGTATGTAGGAAACTACAGCCTATGCAATAAAGGATTAAGCCAATACCTCATTTAGATCCGTGGAAAGAACAATTCTTAAATGTGAAACCAAGAGCATTTTAAATCTTGCCCCTTCTGTTTAAGGAAAAGGCACCCGGGACATTTAGAAATGGACATAGACCTTCACTCAAAGAAAATGAGCCACAATAAACAGTCTTCAAATACTGTGGGCAAACATGAGCACCACCCATTAAGACAATCTCAATCAATAATTGGTCTCGAAGGATTATCGAGACTCATCAACTTGCCAACAAGTGGTTAAAACTCAGAATTGATTCTTGTTCCAATACTGTTCTGGTTGGAATATTTCTAAAGTTCTTTCGAAAGCCAATCTGCACATCACGATCTCAGGGAGTTTACAGCCCAGGCATATAATCACTCTGCTGTCGCCAAGAATACCACTCAGTCGGCTTAAAGGTTTACGCAGTCAGTAGCCAGTGTTTCTCGGCTGGAACACAGGAGACTACTGGCAGCCAGCGTCTCCTTCCCCTCAGCTACTCCTGCACCCTTCCTCTCCGCACCCACAAAAAGGGGGTTTGCTCAGCTGGGTCTTTTGAATTTCCTGTAAAGCTGGAGTCTAAAACCACGGAATGACTGAGGACGTGGCAAGGGTCAGGGAAATCTGGCACAAGCCCAGTGCAAAGAACCAGGCGCAGACTGCCTTTAAATAGACCTGGAGAGGAACATGTACAGGGCAGGGGAACAGATATGGGGCTGCATGGCTGTCAGAGAGCAGCGTCTGCTTCCCAGCTACCCAAACTTGAAGAAAAACAGCTCATTACATAACTAGCACCAATTTGCTGTTTTAGAAAGGCTTTCACATCCGGTGTCTTACCTGAACATCACAATACAAATGATGATGGGTAATCAAGGCTGGAGACGTAAAAGGCTTCCCCAATGTGTCTTCCAAGACCTGGACACTAATCTGACTCTAAATTCATGTGTTTTCCTCCACATGAACAGTCCTTAACTTCTGTGGGCCGCTGACCCTCTCCACTAAGAACATCCACATACTTCTTTGCATGTGGGGCTCACAAGTCCCCTTTAGCCCATCCCAGGTTAGGAACCTTTAGAAGCAGGTGGCTTCTAAAGGTCTTTCCAGCACCGCCCCCCCCCCCACGGTATTAGAAGAACTGGCATCTGAAATCCATTTGAACTCTCCATGCCTTACATAATCACCAGCCTTTATCCCATCACCCTGACCTCTGAACGACATATGGGTTCCAGATCCACTGCACGCAAAGGTTCACCTTTTACCGTTTTGTTTGAACCAGGAAAAATGTGGCCCAGCGTCAGAGGTGACTCACAAGGGCATCATTCTCTAAGGACACAGGGACACACGCGGACACACACACAGCTCCTGCAATTCTGCAAACTTATACTTACATTAGCATTTTATTTTCTTCATGCTATTTACAAACCAAAAGAACAGGTGATCTGGATATTTCTCTCCTTCTGAAGTCCTTCAAGCTTTCACCCAGCTGAATACTAGCAGTCTGAAGAAATACTTCACTTGGAATGCAGCTCTCAAACAATCCCACATAAATAGCACCCTTGCCCCAGCAGCAGCAAATGAAGAAATCCTGACATCTTTCCTTAAAGCAGCAAGCCAAGCTGCCAAGATGCTGCCATTCCCTGCTCCACCTCCTTCCCTGGCACAATAGGCCATTTACAGAGGCTGAAAGCTCCCCCTTTGTCCCACACTAGCTGGGCA